GACATTCTAAATTAGTTTCCCATTATGAAGGTGAAACGGTTGAAAACGTGTAAGAAAAATAAAACGATTAACACAAAAGCAACAAGAAAAGAGTGTGTGTTGTTTGTTTAGACCAAAGCTAAGCTCAGTGCTGGTCTGCACCTTCTTACTTTACCAGTCAACTATAGATTACAACAGACATCTTTTTCCCTTGGGAAGGCAAGATTTTTGTTTACTGAAATCCGTAGGCTTAATATTACAAGATGAGAAATAGACTATACAAGATTACATCGGCCTTGGAGGCGCTGTTTCAAGTCTACGGTTGATTTTTAAATAAAGTGGGCATCATCTTCAAACTTACAAGTGGAAACAGCCAGTATTCTCCAAAGTGAGCCTGAAGTGTCCAGTCACTGAAGCCCAGGCTTTCTCTGCTGGAATACAGAGCAGCAGAATAATGGATGCTTCTGTCACGAGATACCGTGAAGCTCTATGATGCTGTAGGTGAGAGAGACTCCAAGTGGGTCTGTAAATAATGCCTGCCACTTGAAAATAGGTCTCTGGAAACTGCCGCCTGTGCTTTTGTTGCTGGTTGTGAGTCTGTATAATTGCGTTTAAGTGTTTTTTAAGTATTTAGTGGAGATCAAATCGAAAAAAATATAGCAACATTTTTGGACGATTATGAGCAACAACAAATACAATTTGTCTCTACAGTTACTGATCCCAGCTGGTAATGTACAACAACTGTACACTGTAGCATGTAAAGTGTTTGAATAGCATATTAAACAAGATAATGAAATATATGTATGAAATATTGGTATTACTGAAATGGTTTAGTATGTTTAAATGTTGCAGAAAATTAGAAAGTATAAAGTGTTTATACAAAAAGCCAGACACTGAAATTCAACATGGGCCCTCTCATATTTTGTTAAGTCCACAAAAGGCCTGTGAAGGAATTCTGCAATTAAAATGTGTTACGATGATTCATTTTAAAGTGAAACTACCTAAGAGTAAGTACGACAAAAAGTAAAAGAAAGAAAAACGAAAGAGTTGTTTTCTGGGATAAAAAAATACACATTCACAGTAATCGAGTGAGAATAATTATTAAGACTTTTTAATCGTACAACAAGGGAAAGAAGTTTGAGGTATTTCATTGCTTTTTTATTTAACATTTGTAACTTGTTAATGACAGACCGTTTATCTGAGATCCGGCCAAGGACATTTTTTTAGTGTTGCTAATCTAAAATTGCTAATTATTGAAAGAAAAACACATTTGTGTGATATTTTTATCCTGAGCAGAGACTTCCACACCTTCAAGTTTTATATGGAACATGTCCGTTTGTCACACACTTTTGCATAAAGCCTGCATTAAGAGCTGCTGACTCCATCTGTTTGGATAGCCCTATTTTTAGACTTCTGTTAAGTGCTTTTTATCTTTTGTTCAAACATCAAATGACATTGGTTAAAATGTATTTTACGACAGAGAAAATTGTTTAATTCAATGTTCTAGTATCAACTCAAGATGGTGAAATGCATTTTTCTTTTGGTAGTAAAATCAGATAAACTGGGCCTAGTGTAGACACTACTCAAAGCAGAGAGAGGGTGAAGAAACTGAGCCGAGTGTGACGTGCGATAAATCGCTGAGGATTTGGGGAGTATGGGCCTCCGGTGAGAATTAGCCACTGATAAGGTAGATGAAGAGAAGTTTTTTTTTCCAGGGCTGCACATTCCTCTGAGTCCTGTGGAGTGTATCGCTCAGAAGGATACACTAGAGCGTCTTAGAAAGTGGGATGACATAGCCATGACCAAAGTAGACCGAGGGCAGACCAAAGACCTGACATGCACTCGTCCTTCGCTCTGACTCATGCTTATAGTCGCTCATGCTTAGTCGCTCACCACCCACCAACACACAGTGAAACCTCAGTCCCAATGCCAGGTTTTGTCACTGGGCAGAGAAGCGGTTGGCTACAGTAAAAGCATGACGTGATGCCCCTTCCTCCATGTTCCCCCAGCCTGTGCAGCAACAGAGGGGTAAAAATATCCCACCAGTGAGTTCAGACAACCGGCTCATAAATTAACACTAAAACTCCTGCAGACAACAGCGGGCCGGACGCTGAGAGATTTAAACCACTCAGGTTGCCACTGACCACAGCTCTGGGATCAGCTTACAAAACCCCTTTCCTAAATTTACCCATTAGGAGGTGCTGAACGGGAACGAGTTCTAGATCCGTTTTCACCTAAGTCACTGTTTAGCTGTACTATTTTTCAAAATGGCTCTAGGGTGCTTTGTTCCAGGAAATGTTATGAGGTGAGATGTAAGCTATTAGGCCTAAATTGGGAATTGTGTACAGCAGAAAGGTCTGTTCTTAATTTTCCGAGCTTACGCGGAAAATATAAAATATAGGTTTAAGCTCAGCTATTCGCTCATTTCTTATTAAGGATTGCCTGTAATGAAGCGCAGTCTCTCAAGTAGAAACACAATGTTCCAGCAAACTGCTTGACTGGGTCAAAAAGAAGAGGGAAAAAAATGAGAAAAAAAGAAAAAATAACAACAGGAGAGAAGAGTGATGATCCCCTCTAAAGAAACTCAACTCTGTAATGGACGGACAGGGATTACAGACGTTAAAACCTCCTCCATCTGTAATTCACTGTCACCCTGCCATCATCTCTGAATCACTGATCCATTTTGCAAGTGTGCGAGACCTTGCTAAAAGCATCACTGTTGCACCCATTTGTGTTTGTAGTGGTGGGGGGGCGGGGGGGGGGGGGGGGTGAAAGGAGCAGGGAAAAAAGCATGCAGAAAAGACAAGTTAACAGCTCGCTGTGCTGTTTCAAAGCACTCTCTGTCCTGTAACAACCACCTAGCTAGTTTCTCACACAGGGAATGGGACACACTGATCAAATAGGATTTTAATGAACATCAGCAGTTGGAGCCTGAGGAGTAGACGCTAGGATGGCTTAAAGCTACTGACATCTTAGGTTGGGTTGGATTTTCATCATCAAACGGAACAAAAAAAAGAAAACATTCCTTTGCTGGTGCCTCGCACACAGAAAAGAACAGACTGTGAATCTACAATGTCCATTAAATCACAAGGAAGAAGCAAATGAGAGAGCAATCGGCTGACAAGGCCATACATAGACCATGATCATATCATACTAACCCCGCATTATCCTCAGAAAACGGATAACAAAAACAGGTCTTCTCTGAAGGCTTTCCTCTAGGAGCCTCTCAGTGGGAGGGAGAGTAAATAAGATGTCATCAATAATAGACAGTGAATGTTCTGAGCAGTTCTGCGCACACACACAGACACACACAAGCTCCGACTGATTCCTATCCTGCAGACAGGCCTGCCAACCGCCAGGCTTTTTGCACACGCTCAGATTCACTGTCCTGACTAATCGCTTGTGATAGGGGCCTTTGCCATAATTACCCAGGGCCTTATCACAAACTTATGCGATGCATTTTTCATGTCCTGGCTGCTGGCAGTGCCTTCACTGTCCGTGCTGGCAGTCAATCTACGAAAAAGACCGATCTCGGAAAAATTCACACACACACACCAGTTCAGACGGGACGAAATGGGTGACAGCAGGGTGAAGGGCCAGAGAAGAGTGAGAGGGAAAAAAAATGTAAAAGGAGGGGAGGGGGAAGTGAGGGAGAGGAATATTTGAGGGGGGGCTGGCAGGAAGGGGGTGGGAGATAGATAGTGAGGAAAGAAAAGAGAAAGCAGTCTCAATTTTTTTACATAATGCATGAACAAGGGGGCACGAGTAGGAGGACCAAACAGGATCAAATAAATAGGATAAGTGAAGCCTTGATGATGTGGCATAAGTGCAACACAAAGCCCGCTGGGAAGACTTGTTCACTGTCCTTTTGTCTACCCAGTCATAGGGGCATCATGACCTAAATAAAAGTTTTAAATCCCAAGCCTGTGCCATGTACAAAATTATGTATGAACAATTGGGCTAGCCTACATAATGCAATCTTATGTTAATTACCAAGGCGACTGGTCTACTAATATTCATAAATTGTGATTTGAAATTCAGCAATGCACGTTAAATGCCACGGGAAAACACAACAGTGCCATTGTCTACATGTCTTGTGATAGGTCAAACAGGCTCTAACATACACAGGCTATATTCACACACACTGAATAGGCCCAATATTTTCCTCATATCCTGCACTGTGCCGTGGACCTCCTCCGTGCACGCCGAGATAAGTGGCGTGCGTGAGGCTGGGGACATTTCTGGAGTTCATCATAATTAACAAGGTCACGATCTTTCATATTTCTACTATCGTTTCATTTAATTGCATCGCATCAACAAACACTGTCCCGTCCCGTCCACTTCAACAGACGTGGCAATGTCTGTAAAAAAAAAACCTCACAGTGTATAATTGCCGACAGGGGAAAGCGAGAGAAAAAGCCGAGTTGATCAACCATAATCACGGACTTCAGTATAAACTGCTTCAAAACCGTTAGCCGATAAGGTTGCTAATGTTTTCATTCGCCTGTAACTAAACTTACCAATTTGTCAGTGAAAAGCATAAAAACACACGAGCGAAGCGGTGCTGTGTGTCTGCCCGTCTCAACGGCTGGTGTCACCACAGCGCCACCGTATAATGAGTCGCACTTATTTTTCCCCCAAATTATCCAACCTTCTAGCGGCTAAGCGTCGGGCTAACTACGGCTACTCGCTCCGGTAAAAGTTGAAGAACACGCAATAAAGATAGCTAACCGAAAGCTCTCCGGCAAAAGCCCTGCCGTTTTGTTTTCATCTCGGCGCATCCCCGCGGCGTCGCCCCGGCTTGCCCAGTTGCAGTGTCCGATCGATGTTGAATTGAACAAAGAGGATCAATTTCTGATCAGCGAGAGAGCCACTTTCATCAATGTGAGGAAGAGGTCTTGAATTCTCTTCCGAAACACCTACGAGGCGACCGCGGAAAAAACACAAAACACAGCGGCCGAGAGAGGCAAAGCGTCCGAAGAGAATAGAGGAGAGACGGTTAAAACAGAGGTTGTACTGACCTGTAGTTGTTGTAAGTCAAAGCGCTTCCAATATTGAAACATCGATCCTGCATTGGCCGCCATCTTGAGACATATTGAGACAGGAATGAGATGCTGATAGAGAGCGCGGGGGTTGGAGTTCAGTGGAGAGGACCGGGCGGCCGCAACACCCGGACCGGATCACATCCACCTCCATCCGGGTATCAGTCTGTGTACGGAACGGAGTCAGCTCACAGCAGTGTTGCCTTAATAACGCCATTATAATTGCTTAAATAGCTTTTTATCAACATCCAGATATTACAGGTAAATAACAGAGCGAACGTTAAATTACTCGTCATTGTATTACCTTGAAATACACGAAATTGTGAGAGCCAGATGAGTCAATGTTTGGTGTTGTAGCTTAAGTGATCATTATGTTTTTATGGAGAGCAAAGATCATACAAAAAATAATGCCAGGAGGCTATTTGGAAGCCATATCTATAAAGAAAGAAACACACCAGGAGGGCATGCAGGAGCAATGATTCATTTGAGCTGTGTGGAGCTGTGGAATATGATAATTTACATTTTAGACCATTTTATCATTTATCTCCTCCAAAATTGGATTTACTGATAGAGTTAATATAATTATAATAATATATATAATATGATTTCTGTTTCATACACCTTCTTGGATTTTTTGAATCTGCTCATTTATACCATAACAGCTACATAATTTAGGAACACAACTTAAATCTAGTGTATGAATACTTTGTTTGTGTTTTGTAGCTGTTTTACTGATCCCATTGAAATTATGTTATGTTTGTTCCATTGTGGAAGTGTATGAAGGACAATTGCAATTTAAAAGGAATGGTTACACATGACTGTAAACTAAATATAATCTAGGATTAAAGTGTCCATCTAAATTGTTAACAAAAACATTCACATCTAATCAATAATACAAAAAAGGTATCCATAATTTCATAATCCATGTATTTTATATTATCCTTTATTATTATAAAGGATCTATACAAACTCATAGCCTATGCAACAAAACAGGGGATGGAGTGGATTTACACTGTAGATAAGATATTTCCAAGTTCATGGTCTTACTGTATCATAAATAAGACATCCTTACATACTGCTTTGAGGCATTATTTTTGCTCCACAGATATTAATCAGATTAGTTATTCAAATAAGATGGTTGTTAATCTAGTCAGATCATTGCAGCAGCAGGGCAGCCCAGTGGTTAGAGTGTCAGCATGCATACATATCTGTTGTTGAAGTGACCTTCAGCAACACACTGAACCCAGGCTGCTCCTGAGGCCTCACTCCTGCTGACCATGTCCTCAGCCCCCCTTCAGCTTGTGGATATGCAAAGAATTTCTAATTGCAGTGTATATGGAGTGCCCTAAATTCCTGCGTCAAACTGTACCGATTGTTCACCCTAAAACACATCATGCCTCCGATTTAGCCTCCAATTGCTCTGCAAAGCGGAGCCGAGTTGCTCAGGTTTATCAGGGCAACACATCTGTTCTACATGTTGTTTTCATTTTTAGCATTTTGTGGGTTCCCAAATGTGACTTGCCGAGTGTGTCGTGAGGCCTGGGTAAAATCAACGCCTGCATTTACACTTAGGCTTTTTTCCCCCCAGAGGCTACAGCCTTTTAAAATAAATATTTAAAAACTTTATTTTCCGCCTACAATCATTCTCATTTCTTCACTGCCATTGAACTTTAATTGCATGTACTGAAAATAACACAAGAATTTGCCATAGATAATAACGTCTGTTTCACTGCACAAAGGTGGGCATTTTTTGTTTTTTAAATTAGCTCAAATTTCAGGTCATTACTTGATTTGATTTGAAGCTGTTTTGGTCTCCCTTTTAAAACAGTATGGTGCTCAGTGCTCAACTGATTTGTAGTCTCAATTGTGTTTTCATTATTTCATACTTCATTTATAGACATAATACAGTGAATTAAAGCCTTGCTTCAGTTTAACCATGGCACCCAGTCACATGCCTTTTAATAAAATGTACTGAGTTGCACTTCAATCACAACTAACAGCTGCCTTAAAATAATCTTTATGAAAAAAAAGTGATAGATAGATTTGTGTTTCTGTTTGAACTATTTCTCTATCGTGATCATCTTTAAAAAATGAACAAATGATCTGCAATGTGTGAGCTTATTCAGTGAGCTCATTAGCATAAGTGAGTATTCAGTGTATTATAAATACTTCTTAGACAAAATACTGCACATGAACCAGAGGATCCTGGGTTTAATCCTCTCATTTCTTTTCCTTTCCGCCATGTTAATCAGGGTTTCCTTGGCCTGGCCTGCATGACTTGTGATGCTACCTATCATTAAGCCAAACCAGAAATACAGGTCTGAGATAATCCCTACAGGCTTAGTAGCTTTGCACGGTGTCCATTATGATGTGTTTGTATAGTTTTCTCTTACTGTCACACAAAGGAAACACACAACTAAAGGAACACAGTATATATTTGTATGGCACTGATAAAATGAAAAGTATTCTACAAAATGTTATCTAACATATAATAAAAAGTGACTCCAAAAAGCATAGTGTTGGTCCTGAGAAATGTTGCATGTTTTAACTTTTTTCATACAAAAAATAAAATTACACAGTGATTCAATGTTTCAAATATTGTACGGTTATAAAGTGACTTTATTTATTCACATACTTCCAAGATCCCTGCTTAAAAGAAACCTGCTCAGTGGGGAAACATGAATATAACTTTCTTCATAAAACATTTCAGTGCAAACAAAGAAAAAAGAATGTCCTTCCTATAAACAGTTCACGGTTTTCATTTTCATCCATTCAAAGAAATCATCAGAAACAGAGTACATTTTATTCAAGTGCAACCCTTGAATCATCATACAATGAACAATAAAACATGAAATGGACTTCATCCTCAAACTATATGTAAAACACACAAGAGACAACACATTTTCTCTTTGCAGAGATAATTAAATATGTAGCTTTGGTACATTACCTAAGATATGATTGACTTTTAGTTAGATCATGTGTCAGGCTATGACTACATTGTTTCTCCATATTTTTGATTGATTTGATTGTATCCTTCAAGTAATACTTAAATATTGATACATTATTTTAATGCAGATGTCGTTGTGAACATTATAAATCAGTGTATCTTCTCCTGCCAGGCACTTTTCTCTCACTGAGCACACAGTATCTCCATAAGGATTTGAGTGGAGCTTCACTAGGCTCTGGATTACTTTGAAGCAGTAGGGGGTACACAGTGTAAGTCGGAACAAGTAAGACTCTGAGTTATCAATCCACCTACAAATTATAATGTTCTGCCACAGCGGCTTGTGCACGTCTGGCATGAATGACTTGGAAGGGTTTTTTTCCCCTCACTCATCTTTTATTACACTCTATTTTAAAATTAGAAAGGAGGGAAAAAACACCGTAAATTGTTCTTGACAAGGACAACAGGGAACATGTTGGGGCCCAACAGATTTAGCCTCCTAAAAGCCTCATCATCTCATGTAAATTTAGTTAAAGTTTAAACATAGGGAGATAAACACACATTCTTTGTCTCAGTGCCATTATGAAACTAGATCTAATATACCCACAGTGCTACAGGGTAGAAAATAAAACAGCCATTCTGTCCTTTAGCTTTCCCACTTTTCTCAGTTTGTGTCCCTTCTCCTCTGCCTGCAAGGTGCTTTTAGCGGGCCTTGTGTGGCCGGGTTAGAGATGGATGCGTGGCCCTTGGGAGCTGCAGGCGAAGAGCAACACTGATCATGTCAGACAGGCTGGGGAGGCTGCATAAGATCATCATCACCCAGCAGTGAAGTGAATCGCCGCAGTGGCACTTTCACACAACCTCTGACCTGTGGGGTAACCTCAGAGGTCATGATCAAGGTCAGGGGTCAGCCAGGGCCTCTGTGATCAGCGAGCTTGAGGCCCCTCCTGCCTCTCTTTCTCTCAATGTTTTACGTTTCCCCCCCCCCTGCTCTTGCCTCTTTCTCTCTCTCTAGTCCCTCATCTTCTATCTGTTTGCCTATCGCTCACACTCTCTTTCACCGGCCGGGACCAATTGAGACATCCCATCCCCTGGGAGTGCAAAAAGGAAAGCAAGAGAAAATCAATAGGGAAGATGAGTGAAGACCTGGGGGTCCCATCAAAAACTGAATGCTTCTCCCTGTGCTGGTATGATTCACACACACACACAAATACACATACACAGTGGTATTACTTCTGACAAACAGGAAGGTAGCAGTAAACAAGCGCTTGGAAAATGTACAAAGAAATGTGTAAAGTAGCAAAATATGTAGTTCGTTTTTTTATGTATTTGTCCTGCAGTTTCATCACTTTAAAATGGCTGACTTTGTCCATATAAAATTACCTGAGATGCCCCATATGTGGTTGGTTTCTGCAGTGATGTTTGAACAGAGAAAGGCACAATATCGATCCCTCAGTGGACATTCAAGGTCTGGATCCGCAACTGAAAGAGCTTGATGACAAAAGAAAGTTATTTTTCAGCAAGAGAGATGCGAAAAATGTTACCTTAGCTGCAATTTGAGATTAACAAAATGTCACCACATCACCAAACAAAGAAACATTTCCAGTAACATTTGCATGGATTTGTGCCACCTTGTAAAAAGGATTAAAATAAACAAAAGTCGAGCTGAAAGAAGACAAACAAAACGCATTCCTATGTGTCACTTCCTGACCTCATCCACCTCTGCTATTTCGGAGAAAGGACATACATGTGTTTATAATACTTGAGTCTCCCCATGTCTCCATAACTTATGAGATTGCTGAGTTTCCCAGCTCAAGACAACCCCCGGGCAGGACCTTAAATGATCGGCTGAAAATAGAACTGTTCAGATGAAAGGAAGGATAAATAATGCAGAAAGAATACAAAACCTCTTATGGGGATAACAAGTCACACACACACACACGCATACAAACACACAAAGAGATTTTTTTTCTGCTCCACGGTGAAGAAAAGTGAATGGATGTAACAGGAAGGAGGAGGACCCAGTGGAGACACACATGCTTCTTGCTTCATCTCCTCCCACTCCTCCTGCCATTTTTTTCCGCTCACACTCAGACTTCATGACATACTGTGTGTCTGTGGGGAGGAATAATGTTGTCCCAGTCACGCCGTGTTTTTCCTGCCCACCAGAGATCAGACACAACACACAGTGTAGGATTTCCAACCCAGCCGCCTCATCATTTTTTCATGAGTTTTGATGAGAATGCGTTCATATAACGACGACCTGGACAGTTGGCCCTCTTTCAGGAAGGAAAACATGTCACTATCTGAGTTTCTGTTGTTGTATAGGTTTAGGTTAGATCATTAAATTAAGAGTCATTTATTAAGATGACTAGTTAGAGGGTGTTGCAATGCTGGGCAATGTCTAATAAATAAATCATTCAAGACAAACATTTTTAAAGCCTTGCTGCTGCCTGCTTAATTTTGAGCTGAAATGTTTATTCATTGGCCAAATTACTCATGCTTGTTTTGAGAAAATCCCAATGTCACTATACAACACAGGCTGCACAGGACACTTCTCTTTGGGCTTGTGTAGGGAGACACCTAGTGGGGAATGTGTCGCGTTTAATGGTATTCATAGAAGATTCAGTGTCCTCTAACATTGTTAGACACCTTGAGCACAGAAATATTTCAGCAGTGTATACCCATAAGATCTGAGGTATGATTTGTTGATTAGTTTAACAAAGAGTGTTGTCTATCACTTTAAATCTGATTTGACCCCTTACCTCAAATAATATGCTTTTGTACAAACAGAGATTTACAAGTACTGGTATAAAGTAAATTACTTCTACTCAAGTACTGTACTTAATTACAATGTTGAGAGACATCTACTTTACTTAAGTATTCAAATAGTTTGCTACTTTGTACTTCAGAGGTAAATAGTCTACTTTTGCTCCACTACATCAATTTAATATCTTTAGTATTTTAGATTAATGCTAAACAATGCAAAACTGCACCTTTACCAGCTTTGATAGACATATTAATGGATCCATAATTAGAATCAAAACATAATATATTATTCTAAAATGGGCAAAAAAATAGTAACATTTTGAATGCAGGACTTGTATGCTTACTCTGGTATTTCTACTTTTACCTAAGGACAGAATCTGAGTACTTCTCATATGCCTCTGTTTACAAGCTAAAATGTTCCTTGTAGGCTACTTTACAAAATGACCTTTGCTTACTTCATCAGTAGGACACGTGTTTACCCAACCTGAAAGTGCCTGGGAGGCCAACCAAGCGTCAACAGGCCGCACAAAAGCCCCATTCACCGGTAACTGAACCCCAGACTAACGCTGCCACGTCGAAATGTTTCAACATAGAGCACTGGTCCAAATGTTTTACTCGGTTTTGTCCAGTGAAGAGGACAGATAGGGCAAGAACCGACAATGCAGGGAGAAGCTTGTCTAAGCTCCATAGTAACACTCTGACCTCACGTTAACTTCTTATCTCGAGACAATGGCTTTTATCCGACTTAAAGGTGTGCCATCATACAGCTTTTATTACAATCCTCAGGCCACATTTCCTGCGATATTGCACTACGTGTTGTGAGAGGTTTTTGATGCGAACTGTAAGTTGAAGTCGATGGGAGCTGGGGCTGACTGGAGAGCAGCTCCCCGGGAAGACAGGCGCTCAGGTTTGTCCCAGCAGCGGAAATGTGTTGGACCAGTTCTCAGAAATACCTGCTTCTCGGTGTGTGTGGCCACCGCGGGTTTTGTGCTCCTCCTGGGGGTCAGTCTGCTGTACTTACCGGACCCGTACAAGCTGGAACAGTTTGTCCCCGAGGAGAACCACGCGGTAACGCTCCTGATATGGACGCACCCGTTTGGACGGTACCGGAAACTTCCGAACTGCTCTGTTCTTTATCAGATCGGCGGGTGCACGCTCACAGACGACGTGCGCGTATACCCGCAGGCTGACGCGGTGGTCATCCATCACCGGGATGTTGCAACCGGCACCGCTGATCTGCCACCGGAACCGCGGCCACTAGAACAAAAGTGGATATGGATGAACTACGAGTCCCCCTCGCACACCTCCGGGCTGTGGCGCTTTGAGGGCGTTTATAACCTCACCATGACTTACCGGACAGATTCAGACATCTTCCTGCCGTACGGGTATCTACTCCCCCGGGGGAGCAAAACCGAGGGTCTCAACGACCGGTTTGCGCACACGCTCCTCGCCCCCTCGCGCTCACACCTCCTCCGGCCCCGCCTCGTGGCCTGGGTCATCAGCAACTGGTCTGAGTCCCATGCGCGCGTGGCCCTCTACCACCAGCTCCGCCGGTACATCCGGGTGGATGTGTTCGGGCGAGCTGGCCGGCCTTTACCGGAGGACAGTGGCGGCAGCGTGGTGCGGCTGGTCGGTCGGTACCAGTTCTACCTGGCGCTGGAGAACTCGCAGCACACCGACTACATCACAGAGAAGCTGTGGAACGCGGTGCGGGCCGGTGCCGTCCCGGTGGTGCTGGGTCCGTCCCGGCAGAACTATGAGCGCTTTTTGCCCCCCGAGGCCTTCATTCACGTGGACGACTTCCCCACAGTGCGAGGGCTGGCCCGGTACCTGCTGATGCTGAGGCGGAACCCGGCCCGGCTGAGGCGACACCTGGACTGGAGAGGGGGCTACAGCCTGCACCAGCCCGCCTTCTGGGCCGAACACTACTGCACTGTCTGCAGAGCGGTGAGGAGGACCAGAGGCAGGGAAGACTCGGTCCAAGACCTGACACGATGGTTCCACTCGTGACACTCACCTGAGAGACTCTAAAACAGTGGGATTCACTGCCCATTCATTCATAGCTGTCAAAGTTTACAACATGCCTGTATTTATCAGCAACCATTATTGTTTGGGAAACTGTTGATTTAATTTAATTTAAATGACTTTTTGAATGATTGTCTTTCTTGATAGGGATGATGCAATTTAACACAATTCCATTAAAGAGTTTTACACTGATTTTCCGCACAGAGAATGTATAGCTATTGCTAATTTTCCACTTGTCTCATGGGTTTTTACTCGCACATTGTAGTTAAATATAGGCTACAGATTTCACTTTCAATCATAAGACTGAACTTTACTGCAGTTATGTTGTATAATGATGCATAGTGTTTGACAGATTTTGAGAAGCTGGTTTATTACAGTAAATAATGTTTTTGTTGTAAACATCTTTGCTTGAAACATTAGTGTCATGAAACATTAGTTATATGGTGCTACAAGACTGACTAATAATTAAGGTGATACAATTTTCTTATGCAATTTGTCAATCTTGGCACAAACTTCTACGCAGAATTGCAATGGAAATCAGGGCCTGAATGATTGAATGAAACACATTGTCTTAAAAGTGGTCATAAATAATATCAAGAAAATATAATTTCATAGTATAAAATCAAGTATGTTCAACGAGTGTATGATTGAGATAATGAATGTATTCAGGGTGTGAGTGTTTGATTCAGTGAGGCATTATTGAGACAATCTCCAAAGTACATGTTTATGAGGGGTTAGCACAAAGCCATGTTAATCATCTTGGATCTGCTTTGCTATTAGCTTATCACCATACATGGTCGATGCCTGTGCCAAGCATCCCTAAAATAGCACTCTGTTTCTGCACATCATTGACCGCTTCATTGCAGCGCTGGACTGAATGACCTTATTAAAGGTGTTGACAATAGAGTATAAATGCAGCTGTGTCTTTGTTGTGGCATACAGGTGCTGGATCATACTGTGCTTATTCCAGCTTGTGAAGGGCTAATTACATGCGTGGAATAAGGTCTTGAAAATATATGAAATGCAAGTCTCCTTTAATAATAATCCAAGTACCTATACCTACTGCTGACAATGAACCTGATGAAGATCTGCATGAGTCGCAACACACGCTTATTTTATATACACACTGCAATGTAAAAAAAAAAGGCATTTTAATACTGCATAAACCCTGAAATATGCCTTGGATTTTTTTTAACGAGACTTGCATTTTATATGTGTTATGCACTGTAGACTCTAAAGGTGTTGTTAGACCCCAAACCTTTTTTTCAGTGCTGTTCATGCCTCTTGTAGACTTGTTAGAGAGAAAGACAGCTGTACTAACACACATCCTCTATACTGTTTCATTCAAAGTATCTATTTACACAGCCATGCTCATTTAGCTGATGTGTGTACTATCCTTTATATATTGTCATATCTTAGGCTACAGCAATAAGGCAGGAAAACCTTGCAAAAATGAGAAAAGGAAGGAAGAAAACATGCGCTTTAGGAGTCACTTGATAAAGGATTCAGAAGCTGTGATGTGGATCATTTAAATTTACACCTCTGAGTTAGTGCCCTGACACAGAATTAACACTTAGCCTGTCAAATGAGACATTTCCTGCAGGCACAAGGGCAGCGAACACTGCTGCTCCTCATAATGAGCTGATGCCTCAACAGCTGTTGAAACCGCTGACGTCTATCAGCAATAATGCTTTCAGACGGCCAGAACAGACAGACCCCTCATCCCTGTCATAATCCTATGTACACGAGGGAGTTATAGGCATATCTATACTGGGAGTTAAATCACACTTTATGCTTTCAAAATAGATCCACTACATCTTGTCTCGAAGGTTGTTTTACTTGTCCTTATTTAAGGAGTCAGGCCTTTCCATTGAATCATGTTAGGCATTGCCTCTGTTGTCTGGACAGAAATGGGAGCTCCATTTGTTGTTCCTCAAGCGCTCATCTGTACACATTAAAGAAAACAAGGAACATTAATATAAACTAGAGAATGCAATTCCTGAAGAAATTGCTAGTGGGAATGCTTTATGCTGAAAATGTGACGCTAAACTGCTATGCTGAAATGTAATGTGTAAGAAGAAAGTGAAGAATTTAGATTTAAATGATACATGAACACTGGGGGCTTGAATGTGTGATGAGAGAAGAAAAGAAAGTAAAAAGGCTTGGAAAAGCAGCAGAATATTTGAACTGCAAACTTTTGAACTAACTTGATGGTGAATGATCTGTCGCCATGCCAACGGCATTTGATGACATCCCATAATACGCTTAGATGCGTTGATGGCTGCATCGTTACCAAACCTGTGAAGTTTTGGGCCATTTGGAGCATTTTCACTGAAGTTATGAGAAAACCGTGTTTCGTGGCGGGCATTGTGTTGCCATGGCAACGGCATGTCCCGTAGATGTCTTCACGGCTGGATTGTTAGCACACATGTGAAGTTTGAGCACTTTTTGAACATTTTCATAGGAGTTATAGCGACATCGTCGTTTATGGCGAGTGATGCGTTTCCATGGAAACGGCATATGGTGAGATCTCAGATTTGGCGTAGAGCTGTTGAGGCATGTACCTGTGATATACAAGTGAAGATTGGGGGACGATTGGACCGTGTCCATTGGACTTACAGCGACATCGTGTTTCATGGCGAGTGATCTGTCGCCATGGCAACGGCATTTGATGACACCCCATAATACGCTTAGATGTGTGGATGGCTGCATCGTTACCAAACCTGTGAAGTTTTGGGCCGTTTGGAGCATTTTCACTGAAGTTATGAGAGAACCGTGTTTCATGGCAATCCTTGTGTTACCATGGCAACGGCATTTGAAGAAATCTCAAAACTCTCACGTAGATGTCGTCACAGCTGGACTGTTAGCACACATGTAAAGTTTGAGCACTTTTTGAACATTTTCATAGGAGTTAATGTAAAGCGACATCGTCTTTTATGGCGAGGGATGCGTTTCCATGGAAACGGCATATGATGACACCCCATAATTGACGTAGAGCTGTTGAGGGCAGGACCATTAACCATTATCTGAAGTCTGCTGCTCTGAGCATGTCAGTTGAAGTTATGACATCGTGTTCCATGACACAGGTGTTTATATTTGAGCTAACGAGGTGTCCAGAGATCAAAGGTTTCCATTGTTCTGAATGAGAGATAAACCTCTTACATGTGAACGTTTTGTCGAAGAACCGTAACAGATATCTGTGAAATTTCAAAACGTGAAGCATGTCAAGGAAGTTGAGTATCTGAAGTGTAATATTTGTGTACTTTCGGGTTAATAATGTGACCTTTTTGGCAATTTAACTAAAGGTGTGCGGCTGCTGCTGTGAGGAAATATCAGCCTGAAATTACAATGGGCTTTAATGGAGACATGTTGAAAGTTTTTGTCACTTTATGCCCTCAAGAGGCATTTTGTTTAATGTTTTTGCTTAATTTCTTCATTTTTCAAGCTACGAGATGTTTATGTCTCAGAAGTGTAGGGTTTGGGAATTATGGCAGTTCTAAAAAAAAATATGAAGGCGAATTTCAAACTGTCCTCCACTCTAACTCTGACATCACACACTCTGCCTTAACGAGCTGCGCAATGTTAAAGCTGAAGAAGGCCTCTTTACCAAGGTCTGAACAATGTTTAATATTTATAAAAGTATGAATCTGATTTAAAAGTTGTTTAAGATGAATAATGTCAGAAAGATGTGTAACATTTTAAAGTTGGAATGAGGTTTCTGAGTGAAAGTATGAAGGAACAGTTAGCAGTTGAAGTTGCATGAAGATTGTTCAAGTGTGAAGATTTTCTCCATTGACTTCAATGGTTACAAATGTGATGAATTATGGGATGTATCTCTGGAATTATGAAAGTTATGAATGATAAAAGTAATAGCAAAGTTTGAACGGAGTTTCTGCGATGTTCAATGCGGGAGGAGAAGGCCGGCAAAATAACGGGCGGAATCAAGATTTTGAATAACAGATAGTTGGAATGCTGTATCAGCATTCCAACTAAATTAATACGTAATATGCCATCGTAATACGATGGCATATTAATGTTACGTAACGTTGAGCAAGGTGAGATGATGGGTGCTTGTTCAGGACTGCTCAACTTGGCTGTATTCCTTTAACATTTTGGACAAAGGTCAAAGTTCAGCCAGTACCGAGGTTGTGTTGTGATGCAGTGTGCTTTTTATTTCTTTATCTTTGGATTTGGAGTTTGGGATTGTTATTTTTCTTTACAGAAATACTTAATTGTTTTATCAGTTTTGTGTATTTTCAAGTGTGCATGAACACATCATGAATCTAGTTAAGTTTAATACATTTTTTCTTGAACACTATACAATTGGTAGTTCACTTTGACTCGGAATCTAAATGAATATTTAAATATGTGTTTTTAGTTTGGTTAGAGCTAAATTGATCATTTATTCATGCTTAGTTCTAGTCATGTTTAAAGTCAAGCATTGCTTCAAGGTCTCCCAAAGGACTCGTCTTGGATTGAAGGAATTGGTGCATGAAAACCGACACATACAGTATCATCATGTTATTTCAACTATAGCGTTTGCTTTAACTGTATTAAAGTAGAAACTTGGCAATTCAAATAAGAACAGTCATTAATGACACATAAAGTATCACTTGAACATAAGTCAGTGCAGTGTGCAATATTTCTGCACAGAAGAAGTGTGTGTTGCTCTTCTGTCTCCACCTAAACAACAGAAATTACTTTGTGGCTAAAGATGCCCCTCACAGGAATGAATCACTCAGGCCACTGTAAATTACTTTGTACGATATAACAACAAAAATAAAATCAGGATGCAGATTATCATGGTCAGTAAAATACAGATCACATTGAATTCAAAGTCAAAGAGATAGGAACAGTTATTTATCTTTCCTGTTTCTCTCCTGCAGGATAAAATATCACCCCATGTCACAGGATGACAAGTTTACAGAAGATGAGGTGAGTTGTTGCTTGGCAACAAGGTGAAATATTGGATTTATCAATGTTAGAGGGTGATTCAAAGGTTCCTGCGGTGGCGATTGCATTGAACAAGTTGATGGTGAGCACTGATGAATACCCAGAATCTGAAGCAATTTAATTTGATTTAAAGCCATTAACTACCAGCTACAGCTTATTACAAAGATCCTTCTCAGCTCTTGTCCAGACCCCCTCCTCAGTAACAGTGCCATTCATAACCTACATGGCCCCTGGCGAAAGACACAGTAATCTCATTTGTACAGCAACAGATGTTTCTCTTAAAAACATCCGTTGACTGGGGAGTGAAAAGTCTGCCTCTCATTCTCTCATGGGATCAAAGAGACCAGTCTAATCGCTATGAAATCTGTCACATTTGTACTGGTTTGAAGAGACATATTGACTTACAGTGGGCTCACTGTATGAAACAAAAAAGCTCTCCTTCTCTGTTTCTCTCACAGAGCCTACACACATTATATTAGGAAGTTTCCCCGCTCTGCACATCAAAAGGCCACACAGAGGGAAGGTGAAAGAGAGAAGAAAATGCATATGAAACAACAAACCCCCAGACAAATAAACAGCGCAGTGTTCCCATGGCAGCGCGGTGCAGTAATCTGACGGCTGGTTTCCCATGGCTGTGTCTCACTGCCCCATAGACCTCCACTCTGTCTCACTGATGGCTCCTGTGATTGCAATCATCCATCTTACTGTCAGAGGCAAAAAAAGGGGGCAAGAAAGGGTAAATCACACACACCATCTCTCTCTCACTCCCTCGTGCCCAGCAAACAAGCCACCCCGCTGTGAGCAGAGCCAACACTTGTACCGTGTGTGTTTGTATGTATGCCTCTGTGTGTGTGTACTCATGGTTATACGATCTACAGAGAGAACATGTGTGTGGGTGTGCATCTTTGGTTGTCTGTGCCTGCCCATTATACTGCATGATCAGTCACTGGAGTGTACACGGGGGAGCGGTGGACATGTCTGATCTTGCAGCTGATCAAAAGCACCAGAGACTTGTTCCCTTGTGGCCGTGCAAGCGGGCCTCATATCAACATGTCTCTGTTCAGTAGACAGGAAAAACAAGAGAAGAGAGACAGACAGAGGAGGAGGAGGGGGAACATCAGGAGGAAGACAGAAACAGGCAGGCAAAGCACAGATGAAAGGGTGCATTAAGAGGGCAGTGGAATATATGACAATGATACATAACCGCACTTATCTCCCCGTTCTGATGAGCTAATTGAAATGGCAAAAGCGAGCTCTGTATTTGTCTGTAGACGTAATAGCATGTGTGATCTCTTTATCTGCCAACCTGACAGCTCTCATCATCACAGAGCTGAAGATACAAAAAGAAAAGTGCAAAATACCTGGTTGATTGCAGTAGAATCAGATGTTTTAAACTTCCCTCTGGATGTCCCTGGTAGCCCTAACTACATGATCACCCACGTAGAGGACAAAGAGCAGGAGAAGAGACAGAAGGATGAAAGAGGAATAGGAGGAGCAGCAGCGAGGCTTCTGCCTGTAAACAGTCTCGCCACGCTGTGAGGATGCGGTGCAGTTTGTGTGTTAATGTAATTATGTGCAATAAAGTGGTGACTCTACAAAATGAATGCCTTTGTTGTTGTGACTTTAATCTTTCTTCAATAATGAACACAGATCTGCTGAGCATGGTCTCTTGCAAATTAAACAACAAAGCACACCTGAACATTGTTTAAGATAATGAAACACGCCCCAGACACAACAGTCTCAAAGACAGTAGACTTACTTAAAAATACTTACAAAATATAAGTTATCGAAAACAACACAGACAGCTCCATCCTTTTTCTGTTAATGACAGTTAAACGTAAAGTACAACCTTTTGTTTGACTTTCTTGCTGAGAGTAAAGGCGGAACATGGAAACCACTCTCATGTCTGTATGGTAAAAGAAGCAGTGTGTGATCTAAGCTTAGCATAAAGAGTATACAGCTAGCCTGGCTCGGTCTAAGCCAATCAAAAACCTCCTGTTTGGAGGGGTTTTCACCACTGATAAACATGTCACTTTAGATAAACATCTGTGTGACACAGTTTTAGCAGTTTATCAAGAAGTAAATGAACATAGGGTTTAAAACTCCTTTAAAATGAGCTAAATATAGTTTAGTATTGGATTTTATTTGGCCGGTTATAGAGCCATTTTCACATTCTTTTCACCAGCTGGGAGATATTGTTGCTTTCAGAAATTTCCCAAATCTTCAAATTTGTTTTTTTTCCTACTCGGCTGCTCATAATTTCAGATAGGCTAGCTGTTTCCTCATGTTATCAGTTTGTTTGCTAAGCTAAGCTAATTAGCTCCACTTTTATGTGCAGCACACATACATGACAGTGGTATCAAACTTCGTATCCAACTCTATAAAATGTCAAATTATTTCTTTAACATTTAAAACAAAAGTCATGAAGAAAACAAACATTGTATCATGCATGGTCAAAGCTTTGTTCAGAGACGTATGGCTTGGTGTCTGAGAGACTTGTTATACAATAATCATATCAGCTAGGAAACAAATCTCAGAGGCAGTTTATGAAGAAGTCAAAGTCATCCTGTTTAGTGCTCCATCAGTGAGTCAGCAGCACTGGAGCCGAGCAGGGTTTGCGGTTTCAGCAACTCCTGCGTTTGATTTCCAGATGTGCGCTCTCCAGATGCTATTCATTTTGCCTAACTTTATTTTAAGCAGATATCCTTGGCAGTCTGTTGTGTATTACCTCAGTTTTAACAAGGCAGAGCAACTAGACAGAGACAGAAATAAGAGAAAGGAAGAAATAGGTTTGACAGGCTAACACAAGATGAACCCGGAGGTTGCTCCAAAAATGTGTTTGACACTAAATAGTATATTTTCGGTCCAGCTCTCGGGAACTCAAAGCGCAGCCCCTCCGGCTGCGCTTTGCAACATCAGCCAAGGAAAGTGATGCGTTTACTAGACGGTCTTTTATCTGAGGAAAGAGATATGCCAAAACCATCATAACATTTTATGAAATAACATTTTATTGTATGACATTTGAACAAGTGATACTGCTAAGGTTAAGTAGATTAGAAGATCATGCAGCAATAGGGTCAACAAGGCTCAATAAAACCTTTCATGTTGATGAAATGCTCAACATCTCTCTGTTTTTACAGCTGTAAAGATGCAATAATGGGACAATAAACTGTGATAATATAAGAAACATGGTATAAACAAAAACTCTGCGTTCCAGTCAAGAAAAAATGGCCACATCCATCACAATTATACACATACGTACACAATTAGAATATACTCTTAAAGAGGAGTTCTTCTTTGTCTCTCCCCCGGTGCTGGAGCCCGAAGAGGGGTTTGCTCCGGCTGAAGGCGCTTTGTCTTAATAGCTGAGAAAGACAGGGGGTCGGAAATGCTGCCGAACCCAGATCCTTCAGAGTTCTCTGTAAGACATGAAAGACAAAAAACATCCTGAAATTTATCTTCTTCAAAAACCTCCCAAAAGGAATAGTTTTACAATTTAGGTAAAAAGCTTATTTGATTCCTGGTTCAATACTGGAAACAAGTGCCTGGACCTGTCTGAAGGTAATCAATCATTCTAGCAGAACCTCTCAAATCACACCACGTTATATCTTGTGAGTTGGTCACAGTGCTTTGGTATTGCTACACATAAAAATGGCCGTCGCTCTGACCCTCCTGTTATGCTGGGATACTCTCATAATTTCTATGGCTTAAGGCATATTTCACAGAGAAAGTGGTATCAATCTTCTCATCTATCTCCCCACCAGTAAATGGATAAGCATATTTCCTCAAAATGGGGCCTGGAAAAACGTTTTCCTCCATCTGTTTTTCTCCTCACCATGAACGCCTATCATGTGCTCCAGGATCAGGACCCTCTCAGCCAGGATCTTCAGGGCCTCCCTGAGCTGTTGCATGGCCTCACCCTGAACAAACACCATTGTGTTAAGTTAAGGATTTTTTTTTTTAAATTAGCTCAAAAAGGGAAAGGAAATCATGTCCCTTACCTCCCTCAAACCCTCTCCTGGCTCTCCTTTTGGCCCTGGTGTTCCCTGGAAATAATTTGTAAAAGAACATTAATTAATTAAATTATTGATTTAATTCACAGGTTTAACAAATAAAGGTACAATCATAAGGCATAGATGAGATATGTAGAGAGGGTGTGTGTTTGTTCAGAAACATTACAAGCTAAAAACACCTCACAATACTCACAAAAAACGAATCTAACCCTAAATGTTCCCAAAAGAATGATTTAATCAGTCTTGACATATTTGCTTAAAAAGTGCTACCTTAAGCACTTTTTAAAAAACAACACAGATAAAGAGGTTTATACAGTGTTATCAATCTCATGTCATACCTGAGGACCTCTGCTAACCAAATTAATATACAACTTGTACATTTAAGTTAACGTTTTTATCCTTTCTTAAAATACTTTGGTCGTAAGTGTAATATTCTGTGTTGTGTGTTTGTGTGTGTAATGCAACACAATAACCTTATACTTACAGGTCGGCCAAGCTCGCCTGACACTCCTGAAGGCCCCTGCAAAACATTAAGAAATTACACAGACACACATTTCAACATATTGCGTTCTTTCCTCCCTCCCTCTCCCTCTGCTAATCCACCTCTTCACCAGATCTCAAATCTTTAATCACGCTACTAAAGAAAGAGGATCAGGTCTAAAGACAGAGGATCAGGTCTAAAGACAGAGGCCCGAGAGAGAGAGAGAGAGAGAGAGAGAGAGAGAGAGAGAGAGAGAGAGAGAGAGAGAGAGAGAGAGAGAGAGAGAGAGAGAGAGAGAGAGAGAGAGAGAGAGAGAGAGAGAGAGAGGATTAGTCTTGGTCTTTGAAGAAAATGCTTGTTCACCTCTAATGTGTTAAAGACTGCCTGACAGCTAGCCTAGCCAAGGACCATTTAAAGCATATAGAACCAAATGCATTTTTATAGTTAATCGGAATCAAAGATGTCCAGTCAGCGAGTTAATCCAATAACAGGGAGGACAGTCACAGCAGCCTCACCCTTATCCCTGGATCTCCTTTAGGTCCAGAATCCCCATGCCTTCCTTGGAGCCCTTCTTTTCCCTTATGTTAATGAAACAAAAAGGGTATGAATGAATGATGCCAGTCATATTTTGTATATATATTATTGATCAACACATTTGAGATACTCACATCTTGTCCCGGCAGGCCTGGTATCCCTACAGGTCCTCTCAGTCCTGGAGGGCCTGTCGAGTCATTCACAAACACAAATTAGATGGATGAAGGTCGAAATGTTTATAGGCTATTTGAGTATTTTGGAAAGTCAAAAATCCATTCAGTTTAATTTAATTTAGAATATATTATTATTACATTGAAAATAACACGTATGTTATTGGTGAGTGTCTTGTTCTTCTTCTGGCGCACCTCGTTTCTGTTTGAGGACTTTTAATTTGAATAGGACTTAAAAATGAAGCTTGGTGAGTTTAAGCCGAGCTCGACTTTTTAATTATGAACTAGCTCATGGCACAGTATATATTCATAAATGATGTATACGCACAATATACATCCAACCTGGGCAGGAAACAGCTTATATTCATACCTGAGGGGCCGACAGGACCAGCTGGACCCTGAGGCCCGACTACGATCTGAGGAACAGGGAGAGTAGGACGGCCGGAGGTCTCTAAAAAAAATTGAAATTAAAGCAAAAATTCAAGAATTAACTTTGTGGAAAACATAAGGCAGAAACTGTTAGATAACAAAAAAGGAAAAATAAAAACAAATAAAAAAGTATAAAACATTGTGACTTCAAGAGGTGAATTCACAGATGATCATTCAGACCATGTTTCGATGTAAATAAAGAACGTTAATAACTAATGACTACAAATGTTTATTGTATGTACCCAGTAAACTGAACATATCAGTAGATTGTTTGCCATAGAGGAGGTGGAGGAGGGTGTGACGAGGAAACGCTGCACCCTGTATCTTTGAAGGATGTCGCTGGACAATACACAAAGCACCTTTAATGTGCAGCGACCAAAATATACTTTTATTTTATCAATGTAACTTTTCCTCTGGAGAAAACTGAATGATCAGATGTCAAATCAAACTCTATTTCCTGGTTTTAAGTAGTTAAAATTAAACATGATCTTTATCAATGCTTCATTGATCCACAGTGGTGACTCAGCGGCTTCAACACAGCAGCCGGCCAACAATCTCCATTGTTGCCTGTTGCTCTCACACTCAATAGTTGTGCTCCACACACGGACATGTTGGCATGACCTATGTTTTCATTCATTGGATCCAAACATTACTCATCTGTCAGCATCAGTGTACTGTACATTTTGCCTTCTATTGGTGAGCAAAACTATCTCTGTCCTTTCCCTATGTCGCTTTGCACAAAAATGCTTCTTGGGTAATATGATCACATCTTAAAGGGGACCTATCATGCAAAATGCACTTTTGTACGTCTTTTAAACATGAATATGTGTCCCCGGTGTTCCAGGGAACTCACCAAGTGTCAGAAAACACAACCCTCTCTATTTTCCTCCATACCCAAATCTCTAAAAAAGGGGCTGCAACGGATCTGATAAAAACTGATCCAGATTTGAACACTGTCCTGACGTCAGGACAGTGGCGCTACGGCTATTGGGCCAACTCCACCAATCAGGAGGAGACAGCCACGGCCATTGCCGTTCGAAAGCGCTGGAGACGCTGTAGTACATATGCCAGGCCTGTAGATGGTGCTGTTCTCACATAATCTGCCCTTGCAAAAACAGAGCTAAAAAATGTCAAATTGAGCAAAATGAGGCATGGCTAAAATGCATGATCTGTTTGGTATTTTGAAGTATAAATATGCCTTAAATAGGTATGGTCCTACACTATATTATTCAAATATAGCATGATAGGTCCACTTTAAGGTGCAGATGTAAATGAACAAAAAAAATAAGGTCACACTAGGACCCGTGGCCATGTAAGGATGTAACCATGTAGTGTGTAAGCATCTATTTAACTATGCTCTGCATGCACTCTCAACAGTTGAATTGCACATGTGTCAAAATACTTGAATGAGTATCTGTTTCCTAGCTGTGACATAGTGTTTACCTGTGATGCATTCAAGGCACACTTTGTTTTCGATTAAGAAACACAAGCTAGATCTGAATATTCTACATCTTTCTCTTCTTCTGTTACAGACTTTGTTTGCAGGGTTTATTTACTTCGAGTCGGACATGCATATCAATCAAATCATGGTTTGAATTCCTATTCCTTTCAAAATCTCTCCATATTCCTATACTTTTGGGGTCCCAAACCGCATGACCTCAGGGTATGGGATTCTTTTTCAGACAGGAAAAGTTAAGACATCAAGGTTCAGGAGTCAGACTTCAGAGTTTCATCAGCCGTCAACAACAGGATTAAATCCAGTGTGACAGGAACAGCTGTTAGATCCAAAAGAGGTCTGATTTAATGGAGCGGTAAATGCTTGAACATGATATATCTTCATTCAGGAAGAGGAAGTCATGCCTTGTTCTCAGCATGCAGTATGTTTAAAAGTATGTTTGTAGGTAAAAAAAAAAAAAACGTTTTCGACCACAGCCACTTCCTCTCCACTTTAACATATGCTCAGAGTCAGTCTTCCCCTCGTGTTGAAACAGCGCCGTTACATTATGGCTTCAGTCCACAGAAAGGGTCTAGAAGGAGCAGATTTCCCTCTGGAACTAATTTTCTAATGTTACAGTCTCCTCCAGCCTGGCTGCCTCCCCGAGAAACTCCACATGAGTGGCAGACTATCTCCTCCCTCGTTCAGAGAAAGCCCAGATTTTGGCTCAGGGCCGCGGCCTGTTCCCCCAAACGCAGACTGTTGTGCTGACAGCTTACAAATTAGGCCTGATTTACAGCCAGTTGGCCCCCCTCAGCTTACATGGTCCCACAGACCCAGATCGACATAGTTTCAGAGCCGCAGACACAGTTCTGGGCTCAGAAAGGCAGATGCAGCCAAAAGCCTAATCAGAGCCAGCAGTGCTTCATGAGGTAATGATTATAGCACAGACTTCTACTGCCTCCCTGTGGGGAAACCCTTTAATGTGAGGGATATGCACTTGGCTCTTACATATTTGAAAATATATGAATATTATGAAGTGTAGTTGGATTTTAATACATGTTTAACACTCTGTATATGTCTGAAATCCCATTTATTCCAGATATAAAATCGTCTGCGACAAAGATTTAGTGCTGGCTAAAAGCAAACCGTAGCTGTACCCATTTACAGCAAATTGTACTGTTAATAACCACAGTGTATTGGTGGATTGTCATTCATGTATTTGTGCAATGTGTGGGTGATTGTTGTGTATAGTGGCTTAAGATATAGAAAGTTGTATATTTCTAACTAAACTGTACAAGTAAAAGCCCCATTTGGTACAAGAGTTAATAAGCATTAGCATTAGCAATGAACTCTGTGCAGTACATTAGTTTAATTCTCTGTATAAGTTAAATTGCCTCATCCCTATCAGAGTAAAACAATAAAAAAATCCAGAGACGCTGTTTTAAATTGCATAAGAATAATAAAAATGGTGTCAAAATAATGTACTATTTAAATGTTCTTTCTTTTTTTTAAACCACCTGAGCTAATCTTGTGGTTTATGTGCGGCGAGTATTTGGTTCCATTGTTGGTGGCAGGGATAAAGGAAGCAACACACGGAAACAATCAAGCTAAATGTATGCCAGACCTGCAAAGAAACAATACTCTCTCCATTACCAATTGAAGTCTCTTGCTGAAAGCTTAAGACACATATTGCTCACTTAAACACTTGGTAACAGCTCCAATATGCTCGGTGCTTCCACTTGTGCCCCTTTTGAATTATTTTTCCATACGTACAAATGCACCTGGCCTGGGTTCATGTTCTGCCTGACAGAATGATTGCATGGACAACAGTATGAGCATAATGTATGAGATATGTTAGAAACTGTTGAAGCATATGATTCATCAAAATGGACCTGTGGTTTTGGCATCAACTCAGACAAACCCAAAACCGAATGCTTGAATGGTTTTACAATTGTTCTTGTGTCAGAATTCAACCATGTGTGTAAGATAGATATGTCATTTAAGGCCATCTGGAATAAATTAGCTCAGAGTTACTAGAAAAGAGTGATTATAATAATAATAATAATAATAATAATAAATTGTATTTATATAGCGCTTTTCTCAAACTCAAAGACGCTTTACAGTCGGGGGGAGGGTAGACAAACAAGGACAGGCAAAAACAAACAAACACAACAAAACAAAACAAAAAATAATAATAATAAATGAATAAAATAAAACAAAACAAATAAGATAAGATAAACAGAAAGGGCAGTCATGATATCATTATGCGTTGGATTAGGTCGCTCACCTTGATTGTCCACGTGAAAAACGTCACCACGCAATCGCACAGGAGTGGAGCTCGGCCCCGGAGGACCCGGAGGGCCGCGGAGACCGATAACGCCCGCCTGACCTCTGTCACCTTTTGGTCCTGAACAGGAAATACAAATCAATCAATCAATCAATCAATCAATCACTCATGTTGAAGGGGACATATAATGCGTTACTTCAGGTTTATACAAGAAAATGTTTGAACATCATAATGTTAAAATAAACACTTTTCCTTGCTCATACTGTCTGTTTGAATATGCTTGTATTCACCCTCTTTAAGAAAAGCTCCAATTTGGCTCTTGTCTCTTAAAGACCCCCTTGAGAAAAACCCTTAGTCTGCTCTGATTGGCATGCCAAAACAATATGCTGCACATCTGCAAAGGTAGCCTCAATGAAACATAGGAAGAGGACCTTAATATGAATGGTTTGGTAAATCTCGTGTTTTCTGATTGGGGCAGTTCACAAAAAAACGTATTAGGTTGTATTATTTCACAGTTTGTGGGTGGCAGGCATTTTAAAATGTATGTTTACATGCACTAACAAATGGTGTTTCTCCTTATATGTCCCCATTTAAACACACTTTTTGTCAATTGTTTTAAATGAGCAGATGAGGCAAAAGGTATAGTTATATTTTACCGATGGGTCCAGAGAGGCCTGCTCTGCCAGCCAGACCTGGGGGTCCTGCAAAACCTGGAGGCCCTGGTGGTCCGATGGGCCCCGGGAGTCCTCTGCCTCCTGGTAGAGGAGAGAACAAGACATTCAGAGTCAAATTCAGTGTTAAAATGTTAACAGTTCAGACTTAGAAGGTGCACTCCTTACACTTTACACACACAATCAGTTTTACTTGTTAAGGGAGGACGTGTTCAGGAGTAGTTATAATCTAAAGAATGTTGTTGATCCTCTTCAAAACAAGCACAACCAGCCAGAAATCCAGTAAGGATGTAAATGTTGGACTTCTGGCCCCACAATATTATGCTCCATGATTTAAAATATGATTATTGGTTGAAGGGTGCCATATGCACAGTATAATGGCAATAACTCTTTCTTTAAAGTGGACCTATCATGTTATATTTGAATAATATAGTGTAGGACCATACCTATATAAGGCATATTTATACTTTTTTTTTTTCAAAATACCAAACAGATCATGCATTTTAGCCATGCCTCATTTTGCTCAATTTGACAATTTCTAGCTCTGTTTTTGCAAGGGCTGATTCTGTGAGAACAGCACCATCTACTGGCCTGGCATATGTACTACAGCGTCTCCAGCTCTTTCGAACGGCAATGGCCGTGGCTGTCTCCTCCTGATTGATGGAGTTGGCCCAATAGCCGTAGCGCCACCGTCCTGACGTCAGGACAGTGTTCAAATCTGGATCAGTTTTTATCAGATCCGTTGCAGCCCCTTTTTTAGAGATTTGGGTATGGAGGAAAATAGAGAGGGTTGTGTTATCTGACACTTGGTGAGTTCCCTGGAACACCGGGGACACATATTCATGTTTAAAAGACGTACAAAAGTGCATTTTGCATGATAGGTCCCCTTTAAATGTCTCTGATTATTGAAACTGCATTTACTGTTAATTCATTAAAATACAGACATAAAGATGTCAACAGGATTGCTTTTTGGTTTGTATTTGTTAGTCGTTTTCTGTGCGCCTTTCTTAAAAATACATTTAAACATCTGTTCCAAATCTCAACAACACAGTCTTGTGATGCGTTGGCACCTGGTGGCAGGTGAGATGGAGGTCCGATGGGAGTGGGTTGGGGTCTGTCCACCTCGTTGTCCGTTGAGCCCTCTGGTGAACTGCTGACTGGCAGGGTTAAACGTTCCTCCTCTAACAGCTGGATCTGAAACAACAGCAGCACATTTCAGACACATCTGCACTCTGGTGTTTAGAAGTAATAGGTTTACAATCTTTTGTTTTCAAATATCATATAGGATGATGATAGCTCGTCTTTACCTTTGATTCAATGGCATTTATTCTGCTGTTCATGTCTGTGAAACTGGTACAGTTCAAACATTCTGTGAGAAAGAAAGACAGAAAAGTATGAGTTTAGTTATCAGGAATAAATGCTACTTCTTCTTCCGTCTTTTCCTTTCCTTCTGACTCTTTCCTTTCTTGTCTCTTTCATCCTGGCACCATCAGTAGTATCTATCTATCCCACACTGAGCAGTGCAAGCCAACATACACGTTAATGATGTCCATCAAACCAGACCCATTAATTAATTAGGAATTCCTCCATTAATCATGTCAAACACTCACAGAATAAATATTATCAGACCTCTCATGAAATTCTCTCTCTCTCTCAGGCCTGGTGCACACCTGCTTCTCTCCTGACTGAGCAAGTTTTTCGTCAGTCTACCCACTAACAGTGATGCCTGCACGCTCACACTCACACCCTCCCACAGGTACTTATACAATTAATGGTGTGTAGCACAGGGAAGCACAAACAAACAAACACAATATTTTCACAGCCATTTCCAAACGTCTGATTTATAGACATTTTTTAAGAAAGTATGTTCAATTAATATGTCTCATAACATTCTATTTGTCTATTGTCTGTGTTATCAAAAAGACTGATATTTCTTGGTTAAAATGAATTAACACACATTAAAACACAGTTAAACAGGGTGACACTGTCCTTCATCATGACGAACATTGACACTGTATTAGGATTGTTGCAAGTTAAATGTAAGATTGTTTAAAGACCATGTGAGTTCAAAGTGAAGTGCCACAGGAAGGATAGCAAAGTCTGTAAGTATGATGCCTTGTTAGTTTAGGTTAGTTAAAGCATGAATTGAAAATAAGCAAACCAATGAATACTGTCAGATGTATTACTTTAAGAATCAGCATTAACACTTATCATTGCATATGCTATTTTTCTTGTATCTATTTTTGCAGTTAGCACAGAAAGATGTGTTGGACCATGTGCCTTGTTAAAATGCCTGTTTGCCAGTTTCTTTCCTTGTCATGTTCTGTTTTGACCACTTTGGTGAACTTGCTCACAAATGATACAGTTCGAGCTACCACTAAACCACCGACACGCACACATTCCGCGCTGTGCTGCAATTTTGGATCGTTTACATGAGCTGTAATCCAAAATCCAAAACACAGAATAGCACATAATGTAAAAACCCAGTATTTGTTCTAAATATGAGCCTTCCTCTGGTCTATGGCTCATAAGAAGTCAGGAATGTCAGCTGTCAGTCCCACAGACGGGCACCACCCACATTGTGGTCATAGCAGTCCCTAGAGGGAGGAACAACTGGTGCTTATAGATAACTAACAACAAAAATGACCCAAACAGCTCTGGTTTGCCTAAATCAGCTTCACTGACCGCAGGACAGAGGGTACTAATGGCAGCTGCTGAGGTTTCTGCTTCACTGGAATAGCACAGGGTTAAAGTATGTGCCATGTCTGTGTCTCTACATGAACATCCAGTCAGGTGGTGTATCGGTCTGCATGGGTGTGGTTTCTCAAAGCTTTAAAAAAAAAATCTTGACTCTCCCCCGGAGCACAGCCACAAACGGAAACAACAATCAACAGCTCGACCCGAAAACACATTCCTGAGGATTCATCAAACCAAACACAGAGCTGTTCAACCGCTGAGGCCAAAATGACCCCACATGAGTTTGTTGTGTCTGACTGCGCTGAGGTTCCTTTAGAGAAGACATAACAGCACAACAGCCAAACTGAGGGCAATCATAGTCTATACAATGTGAGGCAAGTGATGAGTTGATGTGCCTTCATCTCCTCACAGTTATTCATCATCAGCCCAGAGGAAGTCTCCACCCTGTGTAACACACTCTCTCTGTTATATACAGTCGATCAATCTGTGATGTGATGACATACAGATTTGAGCCTAGCTAGCAGTTTATCTACTGGAAGAATCTACTTATAATTATCAGACTGAAACAACAACTTCTGAATGGGTTGTTGTGCACTTTGGGAAAGACATTCATTGTTCCCAGAGAATTAGTCCTGATGATTTCTGTGATCCCCTGACTTTTCCTTTGGTGCCACTAATAGGTTGACTTTGTTGTTCTCTGGTAATATTTTGACAACTATCTGTTGTGGACTGTTTTGACATTTGGAGAACATAACATGTTGCCCCGGGGATAAACCATTGACTTTGGTGATCCCCTACCTTTTCCTCTGATGCAAATATTTTGAAAGTGGGAAGCGGGGCTTTAAACTGTGAAGAAATATTACATTAGTTATCAAAAGAAGATCACATAGAATAACCTAAATGTGTGGGATTCATTTAAAGAGATAAATGAAAGAACAGTAGTGAATTTAATGAATTTCAGTTTGTTTTACTTTCCCAGAGGCAGAAACTGATTACTTAGAATAGACAATTTTTTTATGTAATTCATGTAATCAGAAGTTATGCCAAACAGCATGTATCTTTGCTCAATCGTACAGTGCCTATGGGATTAAATAACATATAATTATCCCATAGGCATCCAGGAAAGTGAGCAAAACTAAGAAAGTAAACTGAGGAGGGGCGAGAAGGTGCCTTTCTCTAAGCTTTGCCTGAGAGGAGGAATACATCTCCGCATTTAAAATCCCTGTGCAAGAACCACCATCAGATACATATCGAGTGAAACATCTTTACAATTATTGGCATTTGTATTTCCCTTTTACCCGTACTGAACAAGTCAACGTTACACAAGCTATTTACAGTAGGAGGAACAGGCCTGTTAACCTGTTGTCGTCATGACCACCGGAGTTCATGAAGATAACAGGATATGAGGTCATGACATCCAAGCTTGTTATGGTGGTTGGATGTCCTTTTCAGGATTGTTATGACAGTTTTGCATCTTATGTAACTCATACTAAATTACGTATGCCAGGGGGGGGGGGAAGCAACCTATATACGTGTGACATTTTTATAATGGACAGGCTCTTGGTATTGTTGCTGTGTTGTTCTCTTTGTGACGCGGTAATAAAACTAAGACACACCGGGCTGCCCTCATCTGCCTTTTCGCTCATCATTTCTGCCACAACATGGTTTGCTACCAAATCTGGTACTAAAGTTCATGTCCAACATTTGATGAATTGAAAGAACTTTGAATATCCCATAACTTCCATCCAAAACCTCACATCACAACTCTTTTCCTTCTAAATATCAGAGATGTTGACCTGATGACTGTGCTCACTCAAGCTTTGTGGTGCAGTACTTTCACGGAAAACACTTAATGTCTGGTTGCTGCTATGCTGAAAATAAGAAAAGCCGCCTCCTCAATAATGTATTTTTGCTCCTAAGAAATGTAAGTGATGCTGTAAGTCCACTCTCTACTGCTAACGAGTAAACATGTTTAATCTTCATCATTTGTCCAAAGAGAGCCAGAAGTAAAACCATCCATAAAGTAATGCGTCATAAACACAGACCACAGGAAAACACTAGCACTGAGTCAAACTGCCATAAATGAGAAACAGAGCAAAACAACTAAGGTTTATTTTCTTTTTTTCTGAAGGTGGCGGGCAGGCGAAAGCCACCATCTCTGCAGTTGGAATTTAATTATGTTGGGTTAGAAAACCAAACTTCCGCTGTGCTCAAGCTGATGTTTAGAACGGGACCGCAGCTATAGAGTCTGTTTGGATCCATAATTACACCATGGCAACATAAGTCAGGGTTATTTTTCTTGGATTGCGCTCAGCTCATGGGAAAGATTCAGGATTGTGTTGTCTTTAGTGGGAAGCCAAATAAACAGGGAGAATTGGGAACTTTTATTGCTTCATACAGAAGTGAGGGAAGGACTTGTGGGTTTGAGTTTAAACTCTTCAAGACAATTTAATTTGTCAATAAAAAGGAGCACTTTTATATTAAAATGAAAGATTAGCCAATGCAAAAATTAGACAAAGAACATTATTAGGATGACCACAGACACAGGATACATAAATCACTTAAAATGAAATTAACAAAAATATCTGATTTCTGGGGTAATGCACCATGCAAAAGGATTAAATGTCCATAAATAACACGATGCGGAAGGAAAGCTAACATTAGTCTCATGTGATAAGCTCAATTGTTAAGTCTGGCGATGAAAACTGAGAGACTAAAGCAAACCTCCAGGCGAAACACAAGAGTGTAAACAGGGTTGGAAACTCTGGGAAGATAAATCTTAATTTAAACATCAGAGGAACCAAAACAAAGACGATATTTCATCCCAGCAAACTACAAAAACACAGACTTGTTTGATGAATCATCCTTTCCATTATAGTGTGATGGACATGACAGAACAGGATATTTTGGCAAGAGGGTAAGTAAGGCATCGTCTGTTGAGATAACTACATTTCCTACATTATTGACCTGGATATTGATCAAATAAATCATTTGAAATTTCACACACACGCACACATTTCCATTGTCGCTTAATACTCTGTATTTGGGAGCAGGACAGAAGGATAGTGTACTGAAACATCTTCTTGGGTCATCTTAAGATTCTCTGTGATATTCCCAAGATATACAGACGTACGTACGTACGTACATACGTACGTACGTACGTACGTACGTGTGTGTGTGTGTGTGTGTGTGTGTGTGTGTGTGTGTGTGTTTGTGTGTGTGGACCACAGACGGCCTCCAAGAACTGGCTGTGTCCCAGGAGCCTGTTGTGTGTCGGCCCCAGCCAGCAAGTGGTCAGATTTTGCTGGCATGGAGAACAACTGGCAAGGAACACACACACACACACACACACACACACACACACACACACACAAGCAGATACAAAAACAAACAAACACACACAGGCACACATACACAAACGGACATGCACATACACACAAACTCCTACAGTAGCAAATTATCTCACTCACTAAATCACACACCCACTTTGGTGGCTGGTGCAGGATGGTAAACTGAGCTTCTTTCTTTAAGCTGTCTGGTCCACAGTGGGACCATTTTGCATTTTTCACCATGATGCTGGCTGACAAGCAGGCCACACACCATCTCTTTAAATTAAAGATTTGCAACATTTTGCAAGCAAGAAGCACTTTGGAATTCATGGAATTTCCCTTT